GGAATAAGAGATGCCATCTAAGATTTCCAGAAGTGCAACTCTCCCGTATAAACAGCTAACAGAATGTAATGAGCTGCATCCTAAGTGTGTTTGTTTATTTTAAGACGTGAGATGTGAAGATGTGAGATGGCAGTGTGGGGGGGGGGTTCTCAAACTACAACGAAAGATGGGCAGTGACTCTGCTGTCCTAACTTCAGTCGGGAGTTCATTTCCCCTCCAAGTAATGACCAAACCTTTAGCGCTGACAGGAACTGAGAGCATGTTCACACTGAGCTGGTTACATTTAAAAATGCATCTTTTTCTATCCACCACAGTGGATAAATCCTAAAACGCCGGTTTAGTATTTTAATGTAGACGTTTTAGAAAACAAGTATGAAAGTCTACACTGTTGATGACCAGCACAAAGACAAAATGCTCACAGTACTGCTGTATGCTAGTTGGGCAATTGAATCTAAGCCCAGTTAAAATGAGAAGCACATGATACACCACTGATGAATGCCAGACCTAGCAAGCAACACATATGCTCATGTAAGACAAAGACAAGCAGCAAACCCTCCCAACATAGAAGCTGAAGTGAAGGAATGTTTGGCATTTTTCTTTGAAAAATGTATTCATCAATTATCAGAGCAGTTGGTTTTTATTGATCGACTTGTTGAATCCGCCCCAATCAGCCCCCTCGATTATCAAAAACTCTGTGTCATTGATTAATTCTAAAGGACATTTCCACAGTTAACCACTGCACGGCAGAATTTGGCGACATTGCTGACAGACCCTTCAAAATAAGAGCTTTAGCAATCACTAGAGAGGGATTACTTTCTGTTAAAAAAAATCCATCACCACTAGAACATCTGCACGTCATGCGTGTCCTTGAACACGACATGAATGTTTTATGCATAAGCTCTTTCACTGTGAAACCGGAGTCATATAGGAGAGGCTCTATCCTCTGCGTGCTAAAACAATCACATTCGAGCAAACAGATGAAATATGTCTGATGTCGCCAAGATGCTCCCTATTTTTGGTACAGAATGCCCTCAGTGTGAAAAGATGCTTCCCATTTCCCCTTTCATTCTCTCCACCCCCTCCATCCACCAATCACAAACAGCCTCTGCGTGTGCAACCCGCCTCCTCCTCTCTCCTCCTCACCAGCCCTCCCCCATCATTTCCCTCAGTCACGAGTCACGACTCTCAAACACAGCTTTTTCCGTCTCAGATCTTTGCTGACTTGTGGGTTTCTTTGTGAAGTGTTTCTGTGTCTAGTCGTGTGACACCAGTGTCACTAAATCCTCAGATTCAGAGTCAGAAAGACTGCACGGCATGCGTGGAAGTTTAGGTTTTCCCATAACTGGATCTCGGCATGAATGCAGCTGTGGTCTGGTGTGTTTAGTTTGGACAGGGCTTGAGGCCCTCGCTGGCTGCTCCAGAGGTGGAGGAAGGGGGGAGGAGAGGGGGGAGTCCTCACTGAACAGGTCAGAGAGCTGCCTCTCTGGTCTCTGTTGGCTGGGTGTTGTCCTCTCTGCTCTCTGGAGTTTCACACCACCAACTTCACAGCCGTCCTCCATTGCTCATCTCTAACTGTTAACGGACCTCAGCATTTTCTCCCCGAGCAGTCCACCTTCTCACATACTGCTTGCTACTCTCATTTCCCTGTTTCCTGTCACGGACTTCCTTGACATGTTGTTAACTCCACAGTCAGCACACTGGTTTCTCTTCATACCATAATTTACAGAAGACTATATGTTCTGTTGCTAATAAGACTGAGGAGAAAATGTATGGGTTGTAAAGAGCACTGCAGTCTTATATGAGTCACCCATCAAACTGGCATCTGCCTCCTCCTTTACCATGCTTACGGCGTCACTCGTCCACTTCAATTCATCTACACCATACAACTGTGTCCGCACCAGGACATTTATTTGACCCATATAGCCTGGCTGCACTGTCTTGTCATGACAATTGGAGTCTGTACGGAAACAACTGGCCTCAGTGTGCAGTGTCCACAGCCCAGTGGCATCACTCATAGGCGCAATCTCTGAGGAATTCCTTTTATTTTCACAGCAAGAGAAAAAACAAACTGTTAAGAAAGTGCATGGGAGCTGATATTACTTCTCTCCAGACCACATAACCCTTACATCACTTTAGAGGATGCCAAGTCATTTTTCAGTTAATTAGACTATTAAAGAGGAGACTTGATAAATAAGACAAATAAATGATTTAAAGTAACTGAAAACCTCCTAATCTAAACTAGCCAAACACAAGTGACTTCAAACATCTCCCTCTTATACACACACATTCAGACAGAGGTCGTATTTTGAGTTTGTACCTCAAGGTATGAGATAAGCACTGATGAGTAAACAATAGAAAAGGCGATTACGCAACTTGTCTGCCATGCAGAACCTTTCACTTATAACTTCACCCAGCCCCCTAAACCAACTATTGAATGCACTTGATTAAAGAACTACTCAGGAGTTCGCGCACCAACAGATAACACCTCTGTTTTTGACCCTTGTTCATCATTTCAAATTGAGCAATGAGGCAATAAACTGTTTTACTGGCGAGGACACTGGGGTTTAACCTTGTCAGTAAAGCAGCAGGCAATCTTCTTTTGCTAGAAATTAGGGTATCAAATGCCTAAACTAAAACTTTTAAAATAGGCAATAACAAGTGCAAAAAAGTAAAGTTAAAGTTAAATGCTTACAGATAATGTATGTTATGAAAAGGTGATCATAAATACAAATCCTGATTTCTTGAAGGTCCACTGTGTACCAGTTTATATTTTATCTGCAGAAGCAGCGGGTTGCTATATTGAACCACCATGTTCCTACAGTAGCCCAGAACAGACAAACCAAACACTGGCTCTAGATAGGAACGTTTGTATTTTCACACATTTCACAGCCACCGTAGTTGCAATCTGCAACTTCACCGTCAGATGCCAGTAAATCCTTCACACCGGGCTGTTAAGTCTTTTGACTGAACTGAAAAGTCTTTGTGGATTATCACACAATAAGTTGTTATTATGTAATAAGATTTTAAATAGTTCAGGTAATATGTAGAAGAATGTGATGAATGAAATGTTCTCTTGAATCTTTCTGGGATTCATTTCAACTTCACAGGATCAGTCGCTTACTGGACAATTTAGATTCAGACTTATACTGGCATAATATAAGCAGGTATGGTGATGGCAGCATTTCATGTAATCATTCTCCATTTCTTTTCATGAACTTTCCTAACATTTCTTAGATATATAAAATAAGTGACAGAGAAGATGCTAAGCTTTTCTTTCCAAAAAAATATATAAGACATGTCTCAATCACAAAATAACCCTGCAGATACTGAAAATCTGGAGACAAATCCAAATCCAAGTAAATTTTCTATGCAAAGCTCAATGCAAATTATACTCCTCTCATTCAAATCAAACAGAGAACAATTTACCTTGTCCATCCCAGCTCCTTGCTACCTCTCTGTTGTCGAGTGCCAAACAGAGTAAAGGTCTTGCTGACTAAATGACCCTGAGTTTGGTGATTGATTGGAGGAAGTGAGCGGCCTATAGTGACAAAGCACTGTGGTAGTCAGCACTCCACTCACGTGACTGTGGCTTAGTCAAAAAAGACAGTAAAGAAAGGAAAATCACACGGGTCCTTTCTCATTATCTCAGAACAGGCTGTTGTTACCAGTCCATCTGTCTCACATGAACTGGTTTGATTAATGCACTGTGAGCTGTAAGCCATCAACGCAGGGAGCTGCTCTGAGGACTGTTTCAGACACAAGTGTGTCCCTGCAATTCTCAGATATCAAGAACTTCTCTTAGCTGCAAGAGCACAAAGGCCAGATCAAATATAGAACCCAATCTGTCCACTTTCACATTGGTTCTGGAGACATTATTTTATAGTATTAATCAAAGTAAAGAAGTTAATCTGTGGGCATTATTTAATCACTGCTACTACTATGAGCTAGTATTATATGACTTACTGCCAGCTTGGTATTGTCCTTGTGTAAGTTTGTTGCATCAACTATTTCTAAAAGGATTGGGTTTTAAATAGTTATATAATAAACTCCCTCAAATGACTTATGCTTAAGGTTCCCCGAGCATGACCCGAGTTATTTTCTCTTAGTGTCCCAAACACTATCCCAAGATCTTTAACACACTAAAAATCCATATTCTACTAACTTACGAACAATTTATAACCATGATGATAAAGCTACTTGCTTTAATGCCTGTTTTCTTTTCTTTATTCTCATCTGTGTTTTGTCCTATTTAATTTTAACTCGTCTGTAACTCGACATTATCATAACTGTGGGCAACCTCAAAGGTTCTTCAAGTTTAAATATAGGCTTGAATGAGTGAAAACCTAACAGCTGTTATCGTGTTTTTTTTCAAATACTGGTTTATAAGATGCAGTCTATTTTTGTACAGCTACAGCACGGCGGAAACAAGGGATGAAATTTGTGGTGTCACAGATAAATCTGATTACTATTCCCTCTTCCCAACAGCATCAGGATTATAAACCTAATACCTACTTATGAAACCTCTCTCGCAATCTCCATTTACAACCAGTGGAGTGAGAGTTATGATCTGGGCACAGCGATGCATTTCCACTACAGGTCCTCTACATTGAGTTCATATTGCAGCCATTAAACCTGCACAGTGATGCATTGTTGTAATCACCTGCTGTAGATCAGAAATAACAAGCTGGGTTCAACTTTCAGGGCAACAGAAATTCCCCTTCAGTGCAGGAGAAGTGGTGTAGTGTTTAGTCCCTCCTCTGACACCACAGGTATCCCTGATGGCCCAGTTTCTAAAGTCACCTGGGTCTTTTCTCTTGTGTCTCTTCTGTTTTGCCTCCCTCTCAGCTTTCCTACAGCCTTGATAGGAAAATAATAAGACCACTGTGTAAGCTAGAAAGCTAAATGCACCATTGAAGCATCTGGTTACCATTTTCAGATTACAGTAATGGCCTGAAGGACTGTAACTCTCTCACACAACCAGCACAGCATCTTCCCACCAGCACGGCTATATGTAATTTCCATTCAGTACACACATATTAGTGACATTTAGTAGTCCTTGGCTCTGGGATTTAAGCAAACCTTCAGAGGATGCTATATGCCTGCAGTCCTGCATTGCAGATAAAATTAATATTTAACACAATGTTTATGATCTACTGAATGAAAGTAAAGCGATGTTTTCAGCGTTGCAGTCCAAAAAAGGTACAAAAGTTCCACTGGAAAGCATAGGATGTCATTGTACACCCAAGACTGGCTAACCTCATCAATTATTTCAAGGCTGCAGGAATGCTTTATTGCACTGCTTGGACTCAACAAAACCTATTAAATACTAGGACTGCACCATATGGTAAAAACATCATATTGCAATTATTTTTGACAGATATTTTTAACATTTTGTAACATTTGTTGTAGGGGTGTAAGAAACCGTCGCACTGTATGGTGATATTTTGCTTTGTGATATTGTATCGATTCTCAAAAACACTGTATCCATTTTTGTTATTCAAACCCACAAACACTAGATAGGAGTGTTGTTAACTGAGGGCTATGATGTTGGATGTTACAGGGATTATGATAAATACAAACTGTTCTAGTTGCTTAAAAAAATAAACTTAATTTACATTGCTTACAGTATATATAAAACATTGTAACTCCTGGGTCATGATACCGATTATATCGCCAGATTCTTGCCAATAGACAGCCCTAATTTGCTGGGGTCTGCACCAAACAAACATGTTTTGCTAAATCTGGGGAACAGGATTTTGTAGACCAGAGTATCTCTTCAATACTACAGTACCTCATTATAATGCTCACTTGACCTCTATCGAACAACTGCAGCTTCCTGCAGTTTGCACATTGAGATTTTGACTATATTATAATGGTGCAGCCCTATTTAATACACTGGTAACATCTTAAAAACGTTCTTCTTTCAAAAGCATGCAGTTTGCAAGTCCTTCCTTACACCCTGCGGCAGTAAAATGTCCTCCACAGTGTACTTACACGTTAACAGAACAACAAGGTGGGTGAAATAGAAATGGCCTCAGCATTAATGAGGAATTATTTCATTTAAAATACTCTCTATAATCTTGCCTAACTTTCATTCTGCACTAAGAACTTAACAGTATGTTAATGTTTAGCTACAGTCTGTCAAAGGTGAGTAGCTTCACTTTCCCCTCCACCAATGAGAAAGGAGGTGGGTACCGTTTAAGTGGGTTTACCCCTCCACTACCAACATCCCAGCCCACATGATGATTACACCCTCACTACTGAGCGGAAGCCGGCAGAGGGCGGCCGCAGTTGGCCCCCTTTGGCACGGTCTGGGAGAAATTCGGTAGCTGGTCCGGTTACTCTTCTGTGGTTACCATTACAGGCTTAAAAAAAATGTCCATTCAACACCACGACAACCGTGAGATATGACGCGTTTGTGCTCCGGCGTGATGGAGAATAACCGTTACACCTGTGACCAACGGCTCGTCGGTTGTAAAATATGACAAGGCAAAAATATACCAACGTCTCCAGAATAACCGTTATTATTCCCAACGTTACGTGTTGCCATAGGGCCAAACGTTAACGTTACATATTGAACCATATGTTTAAATAAAAGAGCAACATTTGTCACATAACGGGGCTTAAAAATAAAATAATTTGCTGCTCCTCTTACAACGAAGCGACAGCCCCGTATATAATTAATACATGCCCGTCGGAAATACTAGCTAGTTAGTAGTGAATAGCTTCAATGTGTCGCCTTCACCTTATTGCCAGGTAAGATTTTTTTTTTTCCAAACCAACATACACACACATTTCTCTGAATCACACACCCAGCCAGCAAGACTTTAAAACTGCATCCCGTTATCTACATACCACATACGGCCGTTTCCGTTATCTCTCCCGGTGTGGTTGTGGTTGTGAAAATCAAAATAAAGCCTTATTATTATTACTATTATTATAATTTTTGACTCTGTCTCTTTGGCTGACAGACCGACAATAGCTAACCTACCGGTGTTACTAGCATTTGAGTCCAGTGGAGGGAGGTAGAGGAGGTGGGAGTAAAAGCAGGCAGGGAGGGAGGAAGGAGGAGGGAGGAGGGAGCAGCCTCGCTGGCGATGGACTCGAATAAAAAAAAAAAAAAGAAACAGAAAAGGGATTTTAAAAAAAGGGTCCTCTAGTGGTGTGTAGTAGAAGTACACACACATCTATATTATTTGCAGTAATAGGTGTAAAAAGGGGAGCGGAGGGAGGGGACGGCGGACAAGCGTCATCGTGACGATTCAACCTGATGACCTTGAACACCCAAAAATAGAAAAATGGCTCCAGCTGAAATATTGGGGATGAGGGGCAGCATGCAGCAGCCAATGACTCACTGCAGCAGTGCTTCACAAACCCCTTTTATCTGTCAGTTCACAAATTTAATGTTTTCTTCTCCCTGATGCTCTGCCATTGTTCTGTTAGCTCTTAGGTTGCTTTAACTGCATACTTTTCTAATGCAGGATGAGACTGAAGGCTCTGTGCATGTAGCTCGTGTTCAGGTCTTCACCTTTATCTTGTGAGATTTGTTTTTAAAGTTTATAAATTAAGAAATAATCTAGAATTTAAAGTTTCATTCAGTTTTCTTTACAGAAATGAACAAAATGCTGAGATATAGGCCTATCGTTTATATTTCTAAATATACACCCTTTAAAATAAAGAAGGCCCCCACGATGAAGCCGGCCCCCAGGTTGAGACCAGCTGCACTACAGGACTCCCAGCAGAAGAAAATAGCTGACACATTTCTTTATATGAGTTTTTACTAAAGATGAAAACAATGTAAAAACATTTCCTGATTTGTCACTGAGATTGTGCTGCAGCTGAGCTGGTTTCTAGGTGAACAAAGGCACACAAGGAAGACATTTAATCAACCATAAAAATGGCCTCCTCTTGCACTTTCAGTAAGTCCCAACAGCTCCCAGTGTTTGTTCAGCCTCTTAACTCGGTCCTGAATTTCATGGAATTTTAATTTCTTGGAAAATGAAAAAATAAAACATAACATTAGGATGAAAATACTCACAGTAAGTCAAATGAGTCACTGAGTCATAATGAGGACATTGTCAAAAATTAGGAGATTCTGTGTCAATTATAAGCTTTGGTTTAATATTATGTGACAGTAATGAGATACTAAATCCAAATTATGACATACTAATCACAAAAATATTAAGAATGAAGTCATTAAAGTCACTTGTGACTTAGTGTTTCATAATTTAGACTTACCGTGAGTGTTTTTATTTTTATCACATTTACCTTTCATTAGAGATGTTTTGCCTTCCCGATATTGATTCCTAGGACGAATCCTATACATGTGCATTAAAAAATAGAAATAAATATATATATTCTGTAAATTATTATTTTATAACAAATACTACAAAGTCTGTGTGTGTAAGTCTGCTGCAGTTGTGTGGCCTGGCTCAGGTTAAACCCTTTGTAAGAGTCGTAGGAGGGGGGTCACTTCGCCATCCCATTTTAGGGCTAATAAATTACCCCGTATCGGATCGGTGCACAGATGCATACTCTCTGATACCGTATTTCGGGCAGTATCGGAGAAATTTCCGGGTATTGGTAGCAGAACGTTTCCTCAATTCATTTATTTTGCTGTCGGGAACCAGCCTCCACAGTGTTGCTCGCACACTGAAATAGTTTTTAAAAAGTGGTGAAAACAAGCCACAGGCCATCCACCTAAATGCAGTTCATCCATTTCACCTGTCTCCTGTAGGTCTCTGAAAGGCCACCAGCTAGTCTCTGGCTATCATGATTGAGAGATTTCTTTGTACTCTAGGACAGTTGTTTAGACAGCAGGATGAGATGATGGGGGGGGGGACATTGTAAACAAACGGGTTACTCAAGTGTAAGTCAGCCATCTGCACCCAGTGTGGGTTCCTCTACTGCTGTGTTTCACCGAGGGAGGAGCCCTCTGCTTCCAGGCCCACTCTCCTCAGTGACTCTGAGTACTTTCTCCTCCCTATACTGACAATGTCCTCAATCTCATCCGCCAGGTCCCTCCTGCCGCTCTCTATCATAGCGGACACGAGCCTCGACACTGCCCCTGGTCCTGCGTTCCTCTGTCCCCGGGCCCAGTGGAAAAGCATGTCCAGCACCAAAGTTCCCAGGTTGTCCCTGTTGAGGAGAGCAGAACATACATAAAACATGTTATATATCGGCTACAGTGACCTACCAAAGGATTAAAAGGTAACTGATGTAAATATATATTTAGATTTCAGATATTATATTTGAGCAGCACTGTATGTTCCAGTTCCAGTTCCAGTGTAGGATAAAATCATTTTCTAGATACTGTACGTTAATAAACACACTGTATTAAAAACGTAATCATACAGAGTCTCCATGCAGCTAAAAGATAGACAATTGAGGATATTTGTGCATCAAATCTTTACGGATTTAGGCTATACACCACCCGGTGCCAAAGCAAAACATTTATTTAGGAACTTCTGTCGAATACACAAATCATTGTAAGCATTACATGTGAATGCATTCCTGTATAAAAGCCTTACACAGAAAACCATCTACACAACATGCATATGTATGGTTTTTTACATAATGCATTTTTCCTCCAACTCCAGGATGCGTCATGAGAGGTTTTCTGAGCATGAGGAGTAGGGGGAGGGACAGATGAGCATCAGTCTGTGTGTAATCTCCTGCAGTGTCCCAGATGGCTTAGTGATGGCTGACAGTGCAGATTAAAACAATCAAAATTCTCTACCATTTCTCTCCCACTGCGGTTTTCCTTCAGTCACATTACATCTCACTCCATCTTGTTCCCTTAGAGGCTTTGGCTGTGCTAGCACACGTGTGCATGCACTGGTTACATCATTCACCCATGCAGAGATACTTTAAACACAAAATGTAAATTTTTATATAAATCTCTCTTGCAGGTTTACACATTTTACTATTTCCTGAACAAGATTATAGATTAAACAGTTCAGGTTGAGGTTGGAATTCTTCATTTGATTATAACTGAGCACTGCTTCCATATGAATGTGTAGCTGAAGCTTAAACTGTGTAAACATTCATGTTGCACAGATAAGAATTTTTTTCTAGTCATATCAAAGTTTACACTAAAACCAAACATGTCAGGCAGAATTTGTAGATATATTTTGGCAGTGTGGTGTCTGAGGGGCGAATGCACAAAGAAGGGTTTGCAGCCGCTGATAGCACCATGAATTGCTCATCACTACCCCGTCTTGACATCTAATTCACAAAAAAGATATTGTGCTAATATTACAGCACGACAACAGGCCCATAAAGTTCCACAGCTGAGAATTTGCCCTTGTTTTGCATCTGTTCATCTGCAATTTTCTGCAGCTGTGCCAGTAATATTTGTTCTTAAAGGGTAATTTATTTTGCCATGTTTTTGAGTCACAGTGAGAAATGGGGACAGTAAGTTTTGAATTTGGTCCAGCATTCAGTGAAAATGCTGCAGCCTGCAGGAAAATGTTTCCTTTTGCTTAATTCGCTGTGTGTCTAACCAACTGAGAGTTGAGGTGACTTTTCACAGCAAAACAAGAGCTTGTTGTGCTGGAGTACAGAAAGTGTAGCTTAGTGTTATGTTAAATATAAATGGCTAAATATTTAGCTGATTTTGACAACATGGATGGCCACCCATATTTATGCAGCTTGAGCAAGACTTGACACAGACTAGATCAAGTTAAAAGTTAAATTTCTCTGTATTCGTTGTCATACAGTTATAATAAGTACATATACTTTACACTTGCTTTGGCAATGTAAACCTGTTTCCTATGCCAATAAAGCCCTTTTGAATGAATTGAATATAATAGCATGAAATGAATATGTAGCCCATTTCGTGGCTGCAGGTTGCAGCCTCCCTCAATACAAGTTCAAAGTTGACACAAAAACACGGATCCAGAAGTGACTGTATCACATGACGTGGTTAAGCAACGTTTGAGTTAAAAAAAATTGTATAAATGCAGTTGCAAGAATAATACTTTCCACTCCTTTCTTAAAATGTTTGAACTTATTGTAATTTTAATTGTAATATATAATTTTATCCTGATTATATAGTATTATCTCCCCATGCTCTTTCATTTGTTTCTATGTGCAGGATGTCTCTTGTTTTCCTATGACTCACTCTTTATGGAGTGTTTTCTCAGAGTGACTGTTATCTAGGGTACTTTAACAGTGTGCTTTCCCTTGTGCTTCTGGGTTCATGGAGAGCTGTTATCTTTCCAGTGCGTAACCATAGTTTCTGTTTCTCACCGCAGTATGTTTCATGTTGTTTCACAGTTTAACTCCCTCATGATAAATATCAGGTTTGTACTGTATGTGCCTCATGTGTGCATATGATGGACTGTGATGTGCTATTGCTTCACCTGGCTCACTGCTTCAGTTACCACCAACTCTCTGAAGACACAAATAATTTCACTTTAACTGCATGTGAAATTATATTTGTGAAGTAGACTGTTTTTTTACACCAAATGTATGCATATTATCCCAAAAGCAGCAGAACAGAAAGATGCTATTTGCTTAGCAGCACATTGAGGGGCATGCATTTCCCCCTTTGCAGGTGCTTTGTGAATTACATGGTTTCTTTTTGTTTTATTTGTGCAGGTTTAGTGGTCGCAAAAGCTGCACAATCCTCTTAAGAAGTCGCCTTTGAGCCTTGGACTTAAAATACACATATAATAGCACTGAATTTAGATCTAAAAGGTTAATAATAGCTTGTAAAAACAATCAGATCAGAAAATATCCTAACCTGAGAATTGCAAATATTGTTGAGTTTAGTTAAGACATTCTTACTGAACATAATGCAATCTGTCATTTCCTACCTGTACTTGTACTGGATGCGGTCCAACTCCTGGTAGCTTAAGCCAAGATTGATACCAATAGCACGCCAGTCCTGTCCTATCTGGAGAGAGATGGACAGCAGGTTGGCTTCTGTGAGGTAGCCGCTCTCAGGGTCACCCAGGTTCAGAGGAGGATACTGCAGCTCCTCCATGATGAAATTATTTTCTGAGTTTAGAGCCTATGACACAAACAGAGAGGAGATCATATGTGCAGTGTTTCACTCAGGTTGTGACATTATTTGTAAGTAGCAGCTAACAAACAGTTGGGAAAAAAAATAAGCATCTAGTTTAGATGCTAAATACTAATGTGTATGGGAGGAACACATATTTTGTATTTCTATTTCTAAGAATATACAATTATTCTAATATTATATTGCATTGTAAGAATACCAATAGGTTCATGTTAATTCCTTTACTATCAAAAAACATCCAAACATATCTAGGTTTTCATATGAAATAAGGCATAAAACAAAAACATCAACTGACAGGAAGTCTTAGCGGTAAAGTTGCAAGCCACTGGCTGTCATCTCCTTTCCTCTTCCTCGCCACTTCCTCTGGCAGATTGTTGGGAATCTCCCCTCTATAAAAAGACACCTGTAACAGAGGTACAAAACTCATTGATTCATGGGACAAAATAACAGCGTTTCTAACTCACACTGACCCGGGCAGCCACGGTGAACTGGTACATTTTACAGTGTTATACAATGCAATACTCTAATTTACACCGAATAATTACTGGACTTAAAAGCTTATATAGCTTTTATTAGAGACCATTACAATTGTTTGTGTTTTGAGGAGAGTAAACTCATGAAATAGGCTGTTGTAATGTGAGCTACAGGTAGGCCTACATTTGCTTACATTTTGGCAAACTGGCACTACTAAAAGTATGCTGAATTAGCTATTAGCAGTTCCTGTTTGCAATGTACACACACATGTACTGACAACAATCACTAGATTACTTTGCTACTGAAGATAACTTGAAAATTTGAGGATTCTCAGGAAAGTTCTGAAACGTCTTTTTTCTATCATTTCTGAGCGGATATACGGATGTTTATATGATATGTTATCCTCAGGGAGTGTGTGTCACGCTGAATGATATCAATGTGTTTCATGTCTGTGTGTGTTGTGAAATATTTCTCTATCCCTGTGACATTCAATTATCATGACACCCTAAACATTTTTTTTTTTTTAAATCTGACCTTGACTCATGTCTGCACAAGCTGTTCTGTCCCGTGATCGTCCCATCTGTCTCATTACCAGCCTACACACCTTATGACTACCCCATTGTTTCCATGTAATTCTTTATTATCTCTAGCTTTATGTAAATTGTTTGTTCTTGACGATATAATTCTGTGTGCTTCCTTTAAACTATTGAACATTGTTGAAGTGAAATCTGCTTTGTGTCACTTTGTTCTCCGAGCTTCCAAAAATAACAGATTACAACAGCAGGTTAAGATTTGACTCAAAGAAGCAGTATCATTTTTGATTCGCCACCAAATTCACAACTTCCCCCATGCCCCCACTGGAGAGACATTTAGCTCTCTCTTTTATCTTTGTCTTGCTGAATATCATTGTATATTACAGACCACATCCTGTAATTTTCCGATGGTTAAAATGCCCCCTGGAACGATGAGGTACATTACTGAGGACTACAGTGACTATTTTAATCCCTACCTCCCCCTGTAATGTTAATCCCGTCCGAATGGGGCTTTAGTGTAGACTGTACTGTACTGTATGTATATAAGTGATATGTACAGTCTTTTACTTATTGGTTGTTATAACATAGGTGAGGTCATGCAGTCCTTGCACCAGTCGCACTGCCATGTGATGTAGAAATGAAAGCGTAATAAGTGACTTTGTTGTATACCAACAGAAAACACAGCAGAAATCATTATTTCTAGTCACTGCACTTTCTTATCTGTAAAACATGTCTTACTTGTCCCCTCACTGGCCCCTTCTGACCCTGAGCTGGACAGATGTACACTTCCTTCAGATTCTTCAGGCTGGAGTAAAACTCAAAACGCAGTCTTCCTCCCACGCAGTCTGGGCTCTCTAGAGAAAACAGGAAAATATCTTCTCAAGACTTCTAACAAAAAGTTGTTTCAGGACAATTATTACACAACAGCACATCAAAAGACCTTTGAAGGCAAGGGAGAAAAAAATGTGTATTTATGTAAGATAGGACCTCAAAGAGGACTTCAGACCTGTGCTGATATCTAAGCCTTTCTCAAAGCCAGCAAAGAACTGCTCTCCTTCCAGCAGGTCACACAGGTCTGAAGGCTGTGGTCCATCATATTGCTCTGACAGAGACTGCACTCTGCTGTCCACCTGGGCAGGAAGCATCACAATCTCTGTTTAGCATTTATGCATTAATGTTACGATTTCATTAACGCCCATGATGAAATCAGTTTGACTTATGCAGTGCCGAGGTTGAGACACAACACACTGAGAGAAGAGGGCTTATAGGCTGCTGGAAGTTCTATTAGATTACACAGTTGCAGCAGAGACAGGAGGAGAATTACAAACCTTGTTAGAAGGTAAACACTGTAGCATAACTTGTGAAGGATCAGTTTTCCGCTGGAGGACGAGGAACTGGACTTTGAACTGTTTTAGCTTTTGATAGACCTTCCTGACTACCCCGCTAACACAGCGATGAGTGGTGTACCACAGCCAGTACCTATGATGGTGCACACAAAGCTGTGTTAACACAATGTAAATATATAAATAAAACACACATTATGAGAATATATTATAAGAACTTACCAGGAGAAATGTGTGATGTAGAAAATAGCATACAAATGGGTAACGTAGAGAGACACCTGCGATGTAATGTCAGTCCAGGTTTGAGCACTGGGGTCTCCATGTAGCAGATGCAAACAGGACATATCAACTGTGTGGCCTGCAGAATGACACAGTGTTAATACTGTTATAAACATATATGAGGATGAAGATATAAGTATATGACATTTTGTACCTGTGACTCCAGATGGCAGAGGGACCTGAACTTTGATAGGCTGCAGGAAATGTATGCTGGGAGTCTGGGAGAGGCAGAGGAGAGGGCTAACACTAGCCTGAGGATCACCACACAGCGCCTGCACCTCTGACATAGGCACCTGCAGCACCTACAGAAAGAGATATGAACTAAAGCCTTGCAAACCACAGTGCAAACCACAGATACCTCAGTGACAAACTGATACAAACTCTCATATAGTGTAGTACTACCTGTAAAGTTATAGCGCGGGTCTGCACGGTGGAGTCTGGAGGGAAGTGGAGCTTAATTCCAGGGTCAGAGCTGGACACCAGCAGAGCTCCAGCTGGTGTGACAGAGCAACTGTCCTTTACTGGACGGGACACGGCCATAAACCAGGAGAACTGGTTCACCGCACAGCAGGCCAGCTACAGGTACACCAAGACATCATTGTTTTCAACACTAATATTACAATGTGTGCTACAGAGAAAAAAAAACTTAAATACAACTGTTCTTTAGCAGTGGGAGGTTTGATACTTTACCCTGGCCGGACGTCCACCAGGGTGACTGCTATGCCCCTCACTTCCTCTCCTCAGAACAGTGGGCAGAGTGCTCCATGACTGTCCGTCAAACCTCTGCACCACCACCTCCCTTCTTTTCGTCCGAGGATATGGCACACACACATCCACAGGCTGTAAGGATTTCAAAGTTTAATCAGTTGACATCACACAAATGTACCAAAGTACCCTATGAGGAACAAAACACAAATTCTGTATATTTTTCTAATAGTTTTTACTGTACTAATTTAAAGTAGTCCAGTAATTAAGTATTGCACTTCCATAAAATTGGAGAACTTCTGAGAGATAGATTTAAAAGTAAATGTTCAAAATCTGTGCAGCAGAGGCTGAGATATCCTGACTTACAGTCCCTATTAGGTCAAGTTCCAAAAACACTGGATCCTACATTTCCCATAATGCAAATTGATAGCATTTTCCATTAGATCCTCCCTGCCTGGTAAATGCCCATGTCTCTTGAACTCCACTTCACATGTATGTAATGCAGACTGTTATAGATGAGATAACCCTGTCAAAGTACCTCCAGAGCCACTGACAACATTATACAACTGTTTTCCTCAGAGTAGTGGCAAACAGACAAAGAAACTGCGTGAAATCGGACTGTTCCTCGACTAGAAATGGTCATTAAGATCGATAAACCCATTTCTTTTTTATTACCTTTAAAAATGTAATTCCATGAGGACGAAGTTCCAGTGGACGACTCAGTAAGATGTCATGCTCCTCTAACCACACCCACTTCCTTTCTGGCCTTTTCTCAACCCACTCCAGTCTTGTGGTTGTCACCAGGCACCCCGGGGGGAACAGCAGCTCAGCCCCCCCTGGGAGAAACACATGACACCCAGCAGACGAAACACAGAAACTAAGGAGCAAAAGGAGCAAGACATCTTTAATCTTGTCAGAAACGCCTTAATTGACAATACTGAAATTGTTTCCGTGCTGAGAGCGAGACTGTACCTGTGCTGCTTAAATCCGAGATGCAACTCTGGAATTTTTCTTTCTGCTTGATCTGTAAAGAAAACAGTGATGCTACCCAGTGAATATGCTGAGAGCAAATGTAAACACAGTATCTAATGACAACTGCTTTAACTGCACTAATCAATTTTTTTTTCTCTGCTCACAAGGTGTAGGAGGGAGAGGAGGCGGGGTCGGGGGTTGTCCCAAAGGATTGTCACGCACGTCTATTTTCAGCAGAGGCAGTTTGTTCAGACAATGTGGGATCAGCCGCAGGTCATTGCTGTAGATGACAAGCTCTCTGAGGGAGAGAAGAGAGCCTGGGCAACAAAAAAGGAACCTTTTTTTTTTACTTGTGCATTCTTGAATTTAACTATCATGAAACAAAATAAGAATGGCAGTTAATTTCTGTGATGGTCTTTCACTGACACACCCACTCACCCTCACACCCTTACCCATGCTCTCTGGTAGCTGCTTCAGCTTGTTATGAGACAATTCCAGCTTTACCAGCTCCTCCAGGGAACCAATTTCATCAGGTAGTTGCTGAAGGAGGTTATGTGAAATATCCAGTGTCTCTAGTGCTTTCAGATGACCCACACCTGGGGGGAGAGAGACCAGCTTGTTCCCCAGGAGGGAGAGGTAGGTGAGGGAGGACAGCTGGCCAATATCAGGAGGCAAGGCCGAGAGGTGGTTGTGACAGAGGAGCAAAGAGGACAGCGCGGGCAAGCTGAGAAGGCAGGATGGCAGACAGGAGAGCTGGTTGAAGGAGAGATCCAGGTGCACCAGATGAGAAAGGGAGGAAACAGATGTGGGCAAAGTGGTGAGGAGCCCTGGCAGCGGGTCACCTTGCGAGTCATAAAAACAGTGTCCTTGAATTAGAGAGAAAAAGACAAATATTGGAGCAAACCAAGGAGAAAGACAGGAAATGATTATTATAATGTATTAACACCCTATTTACTGTATCTACATTTGTATGTAAAAGTTTTGCTCATGCTAAGAACAATAAATACAATGAAACAATGTTTAATTAAGCCATTTTACTTCCTATGCTAACAAGCAGCTGATACCACATGAAGATAATGAATACCCCGAATAGCAAGTGAGCGCAGCTCTGTCAGATGGTGTAGGACCTCCAGGGCACCATCCAGGCCTGGTTTGTCCTCTGAGCCCAGTCTCACGTACTGGAGACCCCCCAGTTGCCCTGGGATGGACCTCCAAATCAGAGGCAGTGCAGCTGCTCCTCCCTGGTACACATCCAGGGTCAGTCTTGTATCAGTCAACACAGCTGGGAGCTCCACAGAGGGAGGCAAGGGTGGAGTCAGAGACAAGACAGAGGAAGAAGAGGATGAGGATGAGTACAAGTTGGCATGGTGGTGGGTGGGTGAGTGAGAGGAGGAGAGGCTTGATATGGAAGGACCACAGGTGTCCATGAGACTGGAGGGGGACACCGAGGGAGCATCGTCTGGTTGACCGTCAGACATCCCTCCACTGGTGTTCCTCTCTGGTTCCTCCTGGTGCACCAGTCCTCTCCAGAGCCTCTGCGCCAAAATGTCTGCACAAGGGTCCTTCCCGTTACAAGCAGGTGTCACTTCCACCTCTTCAGCCTCCGACCTGCCTGGCTTTATAATCCAACCGCCTTCCTCGTCTCCATCCTCCTCATCAGGAGCTGCCTCTTCCTCGCTGCCTCTCTCCATTGAAGCCATTGTTTATAGACAGCTAGATAACCGCTTCCCACCAGCTAGTAAAATACTGCTACAGGATGTGTCTGTAATGTTACTCATGACACGATCAGATGCGTTCACTGTCATTAGAGTCGGACTGAGATCCATCACTGCCGTGCTGTAACAGTTATGTTAGCTTCTAGCTAGCAATGGCTATGTTGTAGGCTCATCATATTTAACGTGAATATAACCTAAAAAATAAACATCTTCTGTCCTCTGTTGCTACGTTATTGACCCTAATGTTCAGTTTCTAATGTCACTCACGAGCTACCGTTGTGTTATTTACTAAACAATGTGTTAAACGAGTCTCTGTTTCCCTGTTTCTCTCACTCACTGACTACACCTTACTTCCTTATGTCCGATAATGTTTTGAAAGAAAAACAGTTGATTGTTCGCTTTTCTGTGCGTCGTCCGCCGACGGGCGACGGGAGGAGTCTAATCGTTTGTATCGGTTTAGAAGAAAGAGAACCCCGCCCCTCCGGTGGTTGCTGTGTATCATATGGAGCGCCTCTGATGCAGGCGCCGCCAAAGTTTCAACCACAGGGCGGGACGGTTGGTGTCAACGTGCGGCCGCTGTCAGTCCCCGCCCGGCCATCGGGGGTCGCTGTTTAACCCCCTCCACTACCGTGTTACATACAATATAAACAAACAATGTAAACAAACAACAATTATATATTAAATTAAAATGTTTAAATAAATAAAATTATATACAAATATAATGAATATAATAAGAATTCAAACATGGATTTTTATTGCAACAATAATCAATGAAAGAGGGAATAAGTTTTTGTTTTTTTGTCTTATAAAATACATTTATCTATCTCAAAAGCTGTGGAAGAAATTATACTCAAGTGAGTTTAAAGTGACTTCCTCCTATATAATTTGAATAACTATCATTCTTCTTCAGAACTGTTTCACATCTTTATTTATCCATATGTTGGAAATCATTTTTTTATCAGTACAAACTGTACTGCATACTGGCAAGAACTGGTGGCAAAAGTTCATCTCTGTTGTGGAAACCATGTACTTAGAGAATAAGTAGAAGATCACTTATTTGATTCTGTGCCAGTGTTTCAATGAGCTATTTGGGTACAATAACAAAATTCTCCTCAGAAAACCCCTGTCATCATCATCTCCTCAGGCACATTTTGAGTCACTTTTCTTGGAGCTCAGCCAGAATGACTGTTCTTCTGGGGCATCCAAGTGAGTCCTTGTACATAAACAGAATTTAAATCATTTTCTTTTTTTAAATAAATTGTATTTAAAATCTGGTTTTTGTAATTAATTTAATCAATGATTTTTGTCATTATTGGCCCTTTTGATGCCAGCAGACGGTTTAAACTGGAACTGCTGTTACACTGTTACATTGTTTGGTTGCCTCAGGGGGAAAGTGGTGTAAGGCACCTACTGACTCCCACCCCCACTTTCCACCCAGCATCAAATACCCTGTCTCATTACTCCTAGCAAAAGTTGTCAACTTGTATGTGGAACTTTTTTAAGAATAAGCACCATGTGAGACTAATACAAAAGCTCTGGATAACAATGCAGGACCTGCTTTGATTGATATTGTATTTTAATGGTGCAAATTACTGTAAAATTACGCAATTATTCAAATTACCAAGACCAAAGGTCCTCAGTGAACCTGGGGCTTTTGGGGCCCTGGAGCAGTTGGCACACTTGATATATTGATATACTTTTTTTAAGACAGTGAACCCTAGCTTTCACAATAGTTCTCTAAGGGACCATGTCCTAAACAGAACCTGGATTAGTGCCCACAAAAAACTATTTGCAGCCTAGTTCTGCGAATAGCTTATTCAAAGAAATGTTCCAGAATAAAAAACTTTTGTTTTGTTATTGTTGAAGCTGAATTTCATTACTATTTCCTGTGAAACGTTACTACCGTTTACTATTTTGTAAGAAAGACAGTGCAAAGCCAAACTTGCACGTCCTTATTTTTAGGACAGAGTCTATTTTTTGTCACTGAAGAAATTAGTTTCTCAAATGTTCTGGAAAACCACTGAAAGTGTAACACAAATAAACAAGAGATTAGTGCGCACTATCGCAGGTTTTTAATCGATATGTGGGCCTCAAATAATAGGGTAATCTAGCCAATATTGCGTAGTCAGGAATCAATACATTCTTCCGTATGATAACACGTATCACGAAAAATATAGCTTAGTTCATTTTTTTAGGATAAAAAAAATGTGAACACAAACAAACAGGCAGATAAAAATAGAAAGGACAAAACAAAACGCTGCTCTTCCTTTTGCACATACACACAAACACACATCACATACATCTGTTTTAATATAGATATTATTGTTATTGCTGTTGTTGTTGTTGTTGTTGTTATATATATTTTATTAGTAGTAGTAGTTTTCTATCACTTTTAATAGTCATATTATTTTGTGAAACTTTTTAAAACTGTAACATTGAAGGATTGCAGGATTCAAAAAAGCTCATCTGTATATTATTTATTTTCTTTGTCATTTTTATTTATTTTTTAATTGTACAAAATGAAAAACTACATTGATGTGACAGCTGCCAGAGCCAAGTGAGTGACCGCGCATCAATTCCAGCGATGTGTGCTGTGATTGGTCCATTCATCAGCTGTTTCAATCGTGATTGGTCGCCTTGCTTCGCGGGGTCGATTGTGATTGGACGAGCCAGCGTGCTCTGCGCCCGCCTCCCCAACCCACACCGACCAAGTAGGTGAAATAACAACTCCCCGTGGCTCTCCGGATAGCTATTTAACCAGCTTAGAGCTGTTTTTAATTAGAGCATTTTTATTAACGGGGTTTCGCTACAGCATGAAGGAGGAAAAATAATAATTTAGCGACGGTACCTGCAACGAAAACAGTGACTTCTCCTGTTAGCTAGAAGAAAACAGATAACGTTAAGTTAGTAGCTTGAGAAAGTCAATTAACACTAAGTCAGCATGAGAAGAGGCATCATTAATACAATATAAACAGTGTGTTCAACTTCAGCAGCAATACTTCTTTTGTAGCTGGTGGAAGTGTTGTTATCGCTGCCAGTGACCTTAGCCCCACTTGACCCAGCTCCCGGACGGTCACCGGTATGTTTCCTTTAGACTCTCCGTGGAACATCTCGTTTGCAGGCTGCGGCTTCCTCGGTATCTACCACATCGGTGTGGCCAGCTGCCTGGTGGAGCAGGCTCCTTTCCTGGTGCATAATGCCAGGCACGTATATGGGGCATCAGCTGGAGCCCTCACTGCCACTGCCCTGGTCACTGGGGTATGTCTTGGTAAGTGTTTGCTCTGATACTAGACTTCTAGGGTACTACAACTCAGGTTTTAAGTTTACATTTCTTGTACTGTAAATTGCAAATGTAGCTTTGTTTCTGGAGATATATCTGTGTAATTACCAGTGGTGGAAGAAGAAGTCAGATTACACTATAAACAAACTATGTTACACCTACATTAACTGTAAAGTTTAATTAAATGTAACATAAGAATGACCCCCTTTTGCAATGGTTTAAAGTTGCATATAAGCAGCATCTGGATCAGTGACGTAAGTACTCAGATCTTTCGCTTTAGTAAAAGTAGCAATACCACAGTGTAGAAATACTCAGTTACAATTAGTAAAGTAAAGTAAAGAACACAATTATTAGCATAACATATGTTTAATGTACCAAAAGTAAAAGTGCTCATGTAGTACTCTGCAGACAGTCCTATTTTTAAATCATATATGTTATATTACTGGATTATTGGTGCATAGTGTCTAAGCATCACTACTTAATGTGTGGCTAATTTGAACTAGAGTGGCACCATATGTACAAAAAAATATATCATATTGATGATACTGTGAATCATATCACAGGCACTGGGCCTCAGTGGGAATGATCGTTTTAGCATCACAATTTTCATTTTCACTGAAAAAAACATTAAAATCATGATGTGACATTTGTTGGCGTCTCTACAAGTGTTTTCTTACATCTGGAGAACAAGATTTGTAGGCATCTCTGCAGCACCACAGTACTTACCTGATTTTATTATGTACACAGAGTACAGTTGCATGAAAAACTTTATTCATCCCAGGAACTTCCTTCAAGTGTCTGTCTTCTCTTTATCTAATATTTTACAGTAACATTGTCTTAATGTCTTTGCAGGAGAGACTGGTGCGAATATCATCGATGTTGCCAAAGAGGCGAGGAAGCGTTTCCTCGGACCCATGCATCCTTCCTTTAACCTGGTGAAGATTGTGCGTCACATGCTGCGGCGCACACTGCCAGCTGATTGTCACAATCAGGCCAACGGGCGGTTAGGAATCTCTCTTACCCGAGTGACAGATGGAGAAAATGTCCTGGTGTCGCACTTCGACAACAAGGAGGAGCTGGTGCAGGTGTGCATCGAGTATATTTTCTTCAGTATTTTGCTGTACAGTTGGTTGATATTAATAAAATCAGATGTCAGAGTACAGCTGATTTAATCCCTCAATACTGATAATGTGACAGTTTTCTGGGGGATGTCCATGGGTGCTTTCAGAAGCCACTTTTATTTTGAATATTGGTCATTGGTAATGTGGTTATGATTGTTGATTGTAGCCGAAAATGTTTAGTCGATTGATTGAGAAAATGCCAAACATAATCTGCTCCTCTCAAATGGGAGGATTTGCTGCTTTTCTCTGTTTGATTTTGTTGTTTACTGAATATATTTGTATGTTGTACTGTTGGTCAGACAAAAGAAAACCATTTGAAGATGTGGAAAATTGTTCACTGTTTTCTGACAAAACAATCAATTAATCAAAGAAAATAATTTGAAGATGAATCAGAAATGAAATATTTGTTAGTTGCAACCCTACTGATAAACAATGACTATTTATTTGACTCAGCTACAGTAATGTAATGACAAAATCCACAAGTTATATCGTGACATTGTGATAATATTGTCACACATTGTAACTGTAATACCAATATACTATCACTATATCACCCAACTGTATGTCTTCTCACTCCAAGTTAATTCCACCTTCCTCTATGTTTCTTATATTATCTCTTTGGTTAACTAGGCCTGTGTCTGCAGTGCCTACATCCCAGTGTACTGTGGTATCATTCCCCCCACACTGCAAGGAGTGGTGAGTAGATTCAGTTTTATTCAGCATGTATGCGCTGTTGTCAAACATAGGATATATATTTGAAAAGAAATCCCCTTTATAAACTTTGTGGATTTTAAGAGCTGTAGTTACCTATTGCTGTTGGAGAGGTGTAATGACCAGTCTACCTTGAACCATGTACGGTATTTCCTCTCATTGTGTTTAGTGGTTGTCACGTTTGGCACTTTTTTTTTTTATCTCTAACTGTCCCCATGAAAGCCCTCCCCTCCTCAGGAATGTGTTTGTTCTGTTGGCACATGTGTGGAAACAATGATTATAACATTTCTCAGGAGTTAGTGTTTGTTTCACACTAAAGGGGAAAGTTGTATTTTTTTTTTTGCTGGACATGTTTCTAGCACAAAGGTTTTCTGGTAAACATTATTGAGCAATATCAGCACTCCCACCCTCCCCGTGTGGCCTCTGTTATGGGTTTTAAGTGCTTATATGCTCCTGTGTGTATGCAGGGCCTGTGACCAAACTGTGAGAGTGGCAGAGCCAAATGTGTCCATGTTGACAAGGGCTTTAAGGTTGTTCTGTCCTCTCCCCTCAGTGGCTCGGATTCAAAAATCTGATGTCACTCTGTTCTTATCTGTTGACACACACAGCAAGTTTAAAAGTTCACCAGCTTCAGTAAAAACAAACATTAATCAATACACAGGATATGATGTCACTAGTATCATATCCTGTGTGATGATAGCCCTTCAATCGAACATACAAACGTTCTTTACCCAAATAGAAGTGCAGATATTTGTGTAAGTAAAAGTCTTTTAGTTGTGATGTTGATTTTTATCTTTTATCTTCATACAGCGATATGTGGACGGAGGAATCTCAGACAACCTGCCTCAGTATGAGCTGAAAAATACCATCACGGTGTCCCCGTTCTCTGGAGAGAGCGACATCTGCCCCAGAGACACCTCCACCAACATACACGAGCTGCGATTCACCAACACAAGCATCCAGTTCACCCTCACCAACCTCTACAGAGTCTCCAGGGCACTGTTCCCCCCGGACCCAATGGTAGGTCACTTGATTACAACCATCCAGATCCACACACACACACACACACACACACACACACACACACACACACACACACACACACACACACAGACCACACAATAACACACATGTCTACAGATTAATTGATTGGCTCAGATGAACTGGAGTGAACTAAGTGGACTTCTTTGACTCATGAGAGATGAATGTATGTGTTTGTTTTGAGTGCAGATTATGAAGTCCATGTGTAAGCAGGGATATAAAGATGCTCTGCACTTTTTAAAGAAGAATGGTAAGAAACAGTACTTTGTTTTCACACATACTCCAAATCATGTTATGCTCTGTTTATAATAATCAGGTCTTTAATAAGCCTAATACTTTGTCCACTGCCCAGAACATATTAATATATACACTAATGGTTACCCATTTGTATGCTGATTTTATTTTATTTTATTGGCGGTTTGTTAGCACATAATCAACATGGTATTAAAAAAATCAACATTTACAAATATGTTGATTATTATATACAACATTTAGGAGGATCCATTGGCAGACATATAAATAAATATAATATTTATATTTCAATTTTCATAGGTATGTTTTCATTAGTGTATAATCACCTGGATATAGGAATCGTTGTCTTTTGTTACCTTAGAATTAGCCATTTTCATCTAAAGTCGCTACACCTTCCATAGACTCCACTATGTTGAACCGCCATGTTTCTACTGTAGCCCAGAAAGGACAAACCAAACACTGACTCTAGATGGGGTTATTTGCGTTTTTTGCATGTATTTTCTCCTTCACACTTGGCAGGAGAGGGTGAAGTGAGTGAGTTGCAATCTGCAAGTACACCGCTAGATGTCACTAAATCCTACACACTGGTCCTTTAGGAAATGACTTCACCATTGTTCACAGATAACACATCACATTTGTTGTGCTTTCAGGATTGCTTAATTTAAACGGCCCTCTCGGAGACAGACCCCTGCTAGCTAATGGGGAAGAAAATGAGGTTTATGATGAGGAGGAGGAGGAGGAGGAGGAGGAGGAAGACAACAAAAGCGACGAAGAGGAGAAAAAGCCACATGTGGAGGAGGGAGCAGTGATGGTTCATTGCAGTTCCTCAATAGAGGAGCATTTTTTCGAACACCTTCCACCCACCCTGCACAAAGGTAACATATTATAGAAGAACAAATGAGAGGAAGGGCCTTATATCTTACTATTGTCACTGTCCTGGGAAAGCCATGTATCTCCAAAACTTAAAATCTTTAATGGGTATTTAGTAGGAGGAAGGATTATATCAACAAATCACCAAACTTGAGTTGGACACATCATGTCTGTAGTAGCCATGTACTGATTTGTGTATTGAACCTCTGAGCCATTGTAAAAACTGAAGCTGGCCTCGGGTAATTAAAGTTCATGCCAGTGTATAACAGCTGTTGCTAATGTGTGTAACTGTGCAAATGTGATCAGGGTGTTCCTTCAAAAGAGAGGCATCCTCTCAGTGAACCTTCCCTGAATAAATAAAAGTTAAAAATAAACACTATAAGATGCTTTGGATGCTGGTCAGTTCAGGTATAAAGCATCATCCTCTGAGGTAATGCATACGAATTTGTTGGTATTGGAACAGTACTATCGCTCATATTGTGGGTAGATTTCCCTTTTCAAACAGATTAAAATAGAGCACAACTTCTGTGTGTCAGTTTCACTCATGAATAGTGCTGCGTAAAGCAAATTAATTCTATGAATAGTTGCTGGTAACCGTTGTGATCCTCTTTGCCTCCCTCTGCAGCTTTAGTTGAGGCCTGCATGGAGAGGAGAAGCATGACACAGTTGCTAAGCAACACGCTTCCTATCAGGATGGCCTCAGCCATGATGCTCCCTTACACTCTCCCTCTGGAGTCCGCTCTGTCCATGACTCTCAGGTACTGTACGATTTAATTACATCTGGTCCCATTTCCTCCTTATTTCATATGCACTCAGAATACTATCACAGCACAGTACTACCTCTGTATGTCCACCTCTGTCTTATTAATGTAGTTGTGTACAAAAAAAGTCATTGCTCTATAGTTTGAGAATGTTTTTATTGATTAGTGGCAGAAAATACTGGACTACTCATTTGAGTAACAGCAGAGTAACAGCAGTTATATCGGTTGTGTAGACTTCTGGAGTGGCTGCCAGATGTGCAAGAAGATGTTGGATGGATTCGAGAGCAAGTATTCAAAATCCTACAACATGTCCTTCGCCAGGCCTCCCAAAGCATTTCCCAGCATGTGTCTGCCAGGTAGGTTACACACGTACAACTTACAGTTTCAGTTTCTGCCATATACTGTAATGTACATTTACTGTGGTCAGACTTGTCTTTTTATGGCAACTTTTAACATCCAGTCATTACAGAATACATTAAACGTCATATTGCTGCTAGCTGCTATCTATAGTATGTGAACGTGGCTGGGTTTTGATCAGGATAAACCGGCAATAATTTATTTTTTGGCCACTTGGACCATTTGAGTTGAGAAGGAAAACCCTTTCACATTGTCATTTGATACTTAAATATAAAAATATCGATTATAGCTGAGTGAAACAACTTCATTCTGTATGCTGCTAATATGTACTCTAGGTTTTTCTGTCAGCTGGAGCTGCACCACTACCAGTCCCTCCCATCCCAGTTCAGCTCCACCAGCCTGTTTCCCACCTGGGTGAACGGGAGCAGTTCTTCAGTCCTGGACGTCTTCATGCGTCTCGACGAGTACAAGAGGCAGCTGTTGTCTGGAGTGCTGTGTATCAACATGGACCTGCAGGGCGTCTTCCAAACCGAACCGATCTCACCAGACGAGAGCCCTCCGTCCACCCTCTCCCCAGAAGGCCTCACAATGCACAGTGATTGTCTTCCACCTGCTCCAGCTCTGGAGAAACCATCAGCAGCTCCTAAGAGCTTCATTACTTAATCTAGATCCAGTAACATTTACAACAGATTTTAATATCTGTTTACACCCTTACATTTACATATTTTAAACTGCCAGGAAGAATCTAACCAGACCCTTTTTGTAGGGGTTCGAAATAGTAAAAATGTACCATCTTTACACTTAGCGTGTATTAATATATTTGCCTAATGCATGACACTGAAATAAGTCTTTAGCTACAGTTCAGACATAGACACACTGTCTGTCTGTCAACAGAAGTGCATTTAAACTGACAGTCATGCACAAACTTGAATTACAGGACGTAGCAAACGTTAAAATAGGCGAGTGTTTATGTTTATAGTGGAATGTAGTCAGACCAGTAGTTAAGCACAGTGTTACCGCTTCATCCGTTTTTAGCTCCAAGTTACTTCTGGTGGAAGAGACTGACTGTAGGAGGGAGCACAGTGGATGCACCGATCTGTTTGTTACAGGTAGTTAATCCATTTATTTGATGCAAGTATCAATGCAGTATTGTGAAACAAAATACTTTATGTTGTCTTATGTCTTTACAATTATTTATATGAAAAAAAGCTGCTTTGCTCTGTTTTCTCAATCGTGGAAACGTGTTTCTATCATCTCGATTTACGTTCTAATCTTGAGAGTTGAAGTTACAACTCTTTTAAATCTACATTGCAGTGAAATTCTCCTTAAACATCTTTCGACAATGATGTTATATTACAAATTTTAACATTTTAATGCGTTCACAGTAAATCAAATATGTGATTTTGTTTTTAACTATCTAAGAATCTGTTTTATCTGAATTGCACTTGATAACACTATTTGACATCAGATGAGTTTCTTAGGTAATAATCAACCTGTTTAAATGCTTCTCTTGTACTGTGTAGAAACTGTGTGATTAAGCCCTGAGTTGTGCCTTATTGTCCAGTGACATAATTGCAAGTGAATTTAATATACTGACAAAATGTTGCAGGGAATAATATTTATGTGATCATTAAATAAACTGGTATTGTTTATCATTAACTGGAGCTTATGAGTGTTTCCTCATTGCTGTATATGTGAACAACAATGTTCCTCACATTACCCAGAAGAGCCATGAGTTACTGTGAAGAGAGCACACAGAGCAGGGAAGAGTACACATCCGTAACAGTGACCAAACAGTGGATCAGGGACCTGAAGGGGTTCTTGGGGGGTTTCCAGATGATCAAAGCAGAATGACAAATAGTTGATTCATGCGTGTGAGTGTAACGCACAGAAATAATGTAGATATTTTATTTTAGTGCAGGATACAGTTTGACAGCAATTAAAACAGTAGCATAAACAGTGTGAAAGATTGAAATTGGAAGTTCAGGTTGAAAAAAAAAAGATTAAATAAGTTCCTGGTTAATTTAGCTATTATATGCCCCACAAATAAATTTTATTTTATGTTATTTTATTCATAAACTCCTTATTAGAACAATTAGGAACTGTAAAGGTAAAATCTACAACTTCTGTATTAATCACCAACAAGTTCCTTTTTTTAAATATAGAAGTAGGTATTTGAAAGATATGAATGAATCTCTACAACTATCTAATTTCTTAGATTTCAGTACTTGATGTTCAGATTTCACAGTTTTCCAAAAAAATCCTGCTCACTGACCTTGTAGAGGCAGATCTGTAGGTTTATTCTTACTGATTTGTACATTTTAAACTAATTTATAAATCAAAACCCAGGCCTCTAAGATAAACTAGACATTAAAATGCTGAGGCATAAGCTATAAACAATATATAAACAAATACTGTGACTATTTCTTTCTGTTTTAAGAAGCTACAATTTGTTTTGCCCCCCCTTAAATCACAGTTTATCCTCTTCTCTGGATCAAACAAGTCCATTAATTTAACTTAATAATCAAAATAAAACAGACCGAAACAAATACTGTCATTACAACAAAGAGGATTTACTGGAGACCAGACAGTCAACACTGCTGTCAACACCAGAGGCGCATATCGGGAATCCCCTGCGCAGTGTGATCACCCTGCTCACAAATCATAACACGACTCATCACACAGTCTTATCAGCTGTGGTCTGTTGCGAAAGCTGTTTAACGGGCTGTGAGTGATAAACTCTCTGAGATAAGTTCACTGCAAAGAAAACAATATTTGTGGAAGTAGATTTGGAAATGACAGAGATTTCTACGCACGACATGGGCCATTATTGTTGCGTGGATACGTGACAATGCCTCCAAGTGCTGTCGGGAAAATGGGGATCTGCTCATGTTTCTCTGTTTTGTCTTATAAGTTTGGCCTCTGATGTTTTAGATTGGAAAGCATGGAATCTGTTTAGTGGCTATCTGTTGCAAAACACATATTATGTTGGTCTTTAGGTAAATATCCTGTTTATTTATGGTCTATAATTTCACTCTTTTATTTCCCCACAAATTTTGTAAACTCACAGTCACAGTTAGTCTATAATGAACTGGTGTCAATGGAGTATTTGCACTAAATCATGAATGATGAGTTATTTTACCTGTATTTGTGTGTGTGTGTGTGTGTGTGTGTGTGTGTGTGTGTGTGTTTGGTGTGTGTAATCAAGTCTATCTTAAAAATAATCTATCAGTCAAACAATTACTTTATTTGTCCCCAAAGGATAATTGCTTTTTATGCAGCAGTACACAAAAGGCAAGATAAAAACACAAAGCACATGAACACATTATATAATACAAAATAAAAAAAAGTACACACTATGAATACAAATATATGGAGAATCTGAAAATGATATAGCTCTCGTCTAAAAGGACATATACCATAGTACTATGAGAAAGTGACACTTGTAATATCTATATTGTCTTATTTGTAGACTGTTGTATAAAAGAGAATAAAATGTCACTGCAGTATTATAAAGAAAGAAAACACACGGTTCCTCCCCCTGACGTAGGAATTTCCGAGTATCACGTGAAGGCGGCATACTACTGCCACTCAGTCAGAAGTTCGCTCTGAAGTTCACGGGTTCGTCTCCAGTGTGTCCACCAGGGGGCGCAGCCCGGGGAGGCTCAATCCAAACCATCCACTCCGCTTCTCTTCGTACCATGAGCTGAATCTGTCCGGGACAGACCAGGGAAGATGGCGGCCACTGACCATTCCCGGTCCGAAGCTGCCAAACAGCGACGGCAGGATCAGCTGCAGCGATGGCTGGGCTCGGAAACGGATCGGACTGGTTGGGAGGCCCGGGAAACCGTGAGCGGTTCCGGGACGCGGCGGGCGAAAGTTCGATTCGCCCAGGGAGCCGTGTTTATGGCCGCCTGCTCCGCCGGAGACCGGGAGGAGGTGGCAGCGCTGCTCCGGCAGGGAGCTGACATCAACCACGCCAACATAGACGGACTGACAGCGCTTCACCAGGTAGGAAAGTTACCGTAACTCTCTAACGGCTAACAACTGAGCTCATTGGTTTAATGAGTGAAGTAGCGGCCAACTGTCGCTCAACTGGCGGCCAACGGTTGATCCGTTAACGACCCTCACAGCGAGGAAGCGTTAACTCATCTTACCGAGGAGTTTAAAACAAAATGCTGTTAATACAAACATTTCCGCTCTCCTCTTGTTTCTTTTTTTAACTTGAAACTGAACCCCATTACTTTTATTTTCGTTTTTTTTAAAGTCCCGGCAGTTTGTGGCCTTTTGTAGACAGCCACAGTTAGTTTATGAGCCTGTTGGTAGGCTGGGCCATCCGCACTGTGGTCTCCAGTCAGTTACAGGCTGCTTTATCCAGCAGTGTAGTGCAGGTATATGGAGCAAACCCACTTATTCTGCAGTCGCCATTGGGTGTACCCACATCTAAATACCACTCTGATACACACCATTTACTACTGTTCTCTCAGTACTGAGTTTCTTTTTCATAGGATGGCGAAGGCATTACATAGTTTTTCACAATTTCCATGAGTGGCTGGAGTAAGAAATAAGAAAATACTTAACTCAAAATGTATAATTATGTAGTTGTGTCTGTGCTCCAGTATTGATTCTTATGTGGTTAATGTTATAATGACCCTTACTGTCTGCCAGTCAAGCTGCAGAAGTTCAAATACTACTGGCACATCTTTTTGGGTGAACTAAATATGCAGTTTCACTTTTTAAAACACTACATTTATTCTTTCCTGGGTGGCATAAATTAAGAGTATAGCCACTTCTCCAGACTCCACTACACCACTGTTTTCAAGCATACAATGTAGGGACATGAGGACTGCAGACAGTAAAAACCGGTCCCCTCAGAGCCAGTGGGATCATCTTCGACACCGACTGGTAGGCTGGTGTCAGACAGTCCCTGGTGGAGTCTCAGTAAAATAGTAGGTCATTGAATACAGAGAGGTTTTCATCATCTGATCTACAGCTATTATTATTTTTTATCAAGGAAGAAAGTAAGAGAGAAGACTATCAACAGGCCATCTCTGGCTGAATCAAAAGATGACTTAACCTTAAGGTTTTAATTGCAGTTTGAAGATTGTTGCCTTTGCATGTCCCAAATTGGCTGCACTTCTCTCCGAGCATGTTCCAGTCTTAATGCAGCTCAGCCTTAAGGTCCCTCCCCTCCCCTCCCCTCCCCTTCAGTCATAACACAGAGGAGCCCTCTGGACAACATCACTGTCACACAAGCCCTCAGTGATGCAGTGTTTCCTCCGCTTTTATGATACCGTGTGTCATAAACACATTGCTGTCTCCTCGCAATAAGGTGAACTCACAGTCACGTGGACTTAACTAGCGCTAGTCAACATTCAAAGATGTTTTAATTTTCCTGCCCACTGGAGCTGAATTGCAGCTCAGCTGGCCTGCGTGCGCCCCGGTGATGTCATGCTTAGAGACGACTGGTGTTTTCCCCCTGATCAAAGTATGTATGTGATGAAGCTGCCTTCCAGTTCAGATGACTAAGTGAGCATGTTTCCTGGCTGGATGTTGGATCGAACGTGTCCTCCTTTGGTCCATCCACATGTCGGACCGTCACCCGGTGTGGTCCCTCTCCTGCCCTCCATCCCTTTCTCCCCTGTTGCTCATCGGTCGCCTGGCAACCAGAATTAAATATAGGCCCACACTCTCCAAACTTTCCATCCTCTCCATCCAAAGCCTTTTCTGTCTTCTCCACTATGCTTTCTCTCTCCTTTGTCCCCCTCCTCCTCCTCCTCCTCTTCTCCCTGTCTCTCTTTCTCTTTCTCCTTCCCTTTGCCAATTCCCCATGGTGGGGACTTAAGGGATTTCGGATGAAGAAATGGAAAACATTCCTCAAACAGCACAAGCTGCTGTTGTCAAAGGCGATCTCCACAATGAGTCACTTGATGACCCAGTGAAGGAGTCTGTGCACCCTTGTAACGCGCAGGGTGCTAGAAGTGCCCTCTGTTCATTCATTCAGCTTGGAGCACCCACTTGATGAGAGGGCTCCCCCTGTGCTGCGAGTGAACGCTGCTTTTGGCTTGCAAGGTTATGCCTCTGCATTAAGCTACGAGCCTTAAAATGACCATGTTTTTTTGTGTTTTTTTCCAACCTACTACCAGACTAATTATCTCATATTATGGCGGAGGGTGGAGACTTGTAGCAGCTTTGTGATTAGTTGATTTAGCCCAAAAGCAAAGCCTCTTACAGTAGGTGGCTTAAGACGGCCTGATGGACGAGGTTCTAAAGACACTTGCTGCGGTGACATCCTGCAGAGTAACTGTGGTAAATGATTGTCGGGGAAACGCTGTCACATTAGGGAGTGCAAATCTTGTTTTGAGCAGATGTCATCTCACCAGCTGTTAGTGATGACACCCGACATAGAAACATGTTCCTCATTTGGTAGTGTCACATACGAAGTAGGAATATAAAGTACATAAAGGTTGCTTTGACCTTTTTTTACATGGCCTTTATATAGGTTTATAGTGGCTTATTCTACTGGCAGGAATACAGAGAATATAAAAACATTTTAAGGTCATGTATACTGAAAGCTTTTAATTACTATAGGGGTTTCTTGCCACCACAAAATGATACAGTATATTTAGGAATCATAATGTATTTTTATTTTATTGCAA